TAATTCAAGATTAATAGAATTATTGAAGTGACAAACAAATTTGAATTATAAAATAGGTAAAAACCAACTTCTATGTAAGAAAAGTAAATGATATTTTTAAGTCATAACTTTATACTTTAAAACAAAAATACATATGTCTCTTAATTTACAGCTTAGGTCTCACGTTATTTATTCCAATTTCTTTTAAATACTTTCCAGTATAAATATCTTTCAATCCTTCTTCGTAGCCAACAATATTTCCTTGTCTTTCCGAAATATTCGTAGGTTCCATTTTAACCCATTCGTATAAGGCTCTATAAACATCTCCATCTCCCCTTCCTAATGCACTATTTAAATCATTATCACTAAACTCCCAAGCATCAACCAAACCTATAGCTTCGGGTCTAATAATATTTAATAATTTCTTTTGTCCTTCTTTCAAAAGTGAAATATGATGCTTTGTGTAATATCCATCTATCAGAAAATCTCCAGATTGGTTTACAACCGTATTAATAAAATAAAGGTCTATTAATGTGCGAATAATCGGATATATGGTTGGCCGTTCTTTTTTTACTGATTGTAATCCTTCATGTGAATTAATTAGAGTTGTATAATGACAATATGCACGAGATAAATGAACAATATCAATCATATGATCTGCTTTTGAACCATCATAGCCATGTGGATGTGTTATTGCAGATATTTCAATGCTGGTATCGAGGTTAAATAAAAGTCGTAAATACATATGACGAAATGCGCAAAGTTGAGTTTCGGCATCTAAGAGATCTTCTAATGTTTCAGCAATGCATTTTTCCATAAGTATTTTGGAGTAAGAAGAAAGATGACTTAGTCGACCACCTATCGGGAACCCTTTTTTTGCGGTTAAGAAAGATTTCAAAAGATAACGTCCCGTTTGCAAGTGCATAATTGTATTTTCACCTACACAATATAAACGGATATGAAACATATAAGAATAACCATAAGCACAGTTTGCTTCAGGAAAATTTGTGTTTACAAAGAATTGTCTTATAGAAATCAATCGTACATACCTTCTGCACTTGCATATTGTGCGTAGAATTCTAATATAATAGGTATACTATTACAATAAATTTATAGCATGTTATTTATATTATTAAAGATATATCAGCATAGCCAAAAGGGTTTTGGTAGAATTCGCCGACAGCCACTTCACCTATAGCCAACACTAACTATAAAGCAGGCCAGCCCTAACCTAAATCGGGCCAAATTTGTCAACGAAATAGCTATCGGCTAAATTGGTTTATACAAACCAAAAAATACCTACCCACTTAAATGTGAATATCCATGGCCTATATTTAAGCAAGCTCAATCCGTTAATAGTGTTATCAGATAAAAAAAATAATAATAATGTACGTTAATGATTGATATATAGGATACCTCCACAACTTTGTCTTGCATCCTCTATAGCTTCAGTGACCAAATCCGTGCATAGAGCTTTTAGTCCCTATAAAAAAAAAGAACAACTAATATATTACTGTATCAACATAATGAATCTAAAATTATTAACATACCGCTGAAATAGCATGAACTTCTGCCATTAAACTAACATCCATATTTTCAATATTTTTTATGTTATTTTCATACAACTTCCTCATTGATATTCCATTAAAAAACACAGCATACACAAGCGCTATGCTAGAAAACAATCTATATTGCTGGTATTGATAATCCAAGATTAAATTTTCGTTGTTTAAGTCTTTATAATTGTCTCCTTGTTTTCTTACTAACGAATATCGAACTGCAATAGTTAAAACTTTTGATAAAAATAAAGCAGACAAATCTAAAAGACCTGTTCGATTTGCTACTAGTGTATCATATATAATTTTTTTATGAGGAGATGTGGAATAGTGGCCACTTCTGGAAACTTTATAAAAACGCATCATCATGTTTTCTCGTGGAATACGGACTCGGGTAAACTTTAAGAATCCTTTTTTTATAATGCCAAATTATTAAACTCTTCAGTTTTGAATTG